CTCCGAAGTATAAGTAGTCAACACCGGTATGATGTGCACGGACTTGGTTAACCTATAGCATCAAAATCCATAGTGATACCTACCACTTCCATTCTGATATAACCATCTTCTGAGTCAAACTACCTAGTTTCTAATGTTCATAGCTAAATTGCTGGCTATTTAAACACTGTGAAACATCACTAACGATGTCTTTCTTCATCCTACGCCACCAATAGTGGTGTTTCAAGTCATTATACATTTTCGTAGCACCTGGATGAACAGAATACCGTGACGTTGAGCCTCCCGAGTATCAACTCCCACATCCCATCTAACATTAGTTAATACCACTATTTTGTTATAAATTTGGAGTGATATTAGTTAATACGCATGGCTGCATATGAAATAAGTACAAGACCAAATTGTATTCTGAACTATAATCCTACTCTCGATAACCAAATGATCCCTCAAGTTCAGAGCCATCAGAGACATGCATTAGTCCATGGTTATATATAGCCTGACAGGGGTTCTGTTGGTTAAAATTTTGGGAAGATAGAAAAAAGTGAAATTTAGGATGATGGATAAAAGCAAAAATAGGATCAAGATTCGGAGGCACGATGGGTGCCTAATTGTTTTATTTTATCTGACACGATGAGTAACTAATCGTTTCATCTTGTCCCTACACAAAATTTATTATTCCGTCTATTTTATTTTATGTAGCACTATTTACTTATTAACAGATGATTAGAATGGAGTAGTTGATTCCAAAAGAATAGCATATATGTTTCAATTTAAGTGGCACATTTCATTTTAAGATTATCACTTCCAGAAAACTTTATTTCTTTTTAAAATTTCGTGTCACTTCCACATATATTGAAAATGAGGGACTATTAGATTAAGTGTGATATATTTAATTTATGAATTCAACAATTAGCAATTTTGAGAATCTTTCTAATTCACATACTCTGTGTTTTGGAATTCGTCACTTTTTTATTTTGAAGGAAACTACTGCAAACTCAATTCAATTGTATATTTGTAGGAAATATATTAAAGGACACAGTGGGCACTGAATCACCAAATTTAGGGACTATTTTCCTGCCCATACGTACATATATATGTTTTCCTAACCACGTTAGCTGATTTTGCATGTATCCTCTCCATTTTTTCCACCACACAATCTGGCCTGACCAGCCTCTTACTATCTTTGCTACTTGTCTAGTTTAATTGTCTGTCTTTTAAACAAAATAATGTACGTATTAGTGTTATATTTACTCCATGATCGGCTTCTATGCCCAGCAACTTCACCCACGATACTAATTCACTTAACAGCCTAATACTGTAATATGGCCCCCGTTACATGATCTTACCACTCAAAGTATTTGTGATATCTACATTTTTTGCATTATGTTATCCTACAACTAACTGATTGAGAAGTTTGTGTGTGTGTGTATATATATATATATATATATATATATATATATATATCACCTTCAATTTAAATTTAAGAGTGTGAATACGTACCTCCACCCCACCTCCTGAGCTCCCCGAGCTCCCTCAGGTCCATGCAGAGGCGGACCCAGGAATTTAATGCGACGAGGGCACAATATTTTGTTCAATCAGTGCCTCCTAAAGTCTTTTAGCGTTAAGGGTGCCAAGTAATTTAAATTAACCATTTTCAAGATATACATATATACATATACAAGATTTATGCCAAAGTTTACGGGGTCCGGTGACCCCTCAACATAAGCCATAGGTCCGCCTCGAGTCCATGGCCCTTACCCTATATTAAAGAGATATCATCTTGTTTAAAATGTGCATTTGCAACGCAATATATTAGTAGTGTACTGGATCCTCGGCTTGAGCCTTAACCACACATCAAATTTCCAACATATATAGATCGTCCAAACTGTGGGAACAATGGGAAGAAAGGAGAGTAGCAGCTATACATCGTGGAGTATTTAACAAAAGATATATTCCCGTAATATTTTGACCTACACAATTGAACTGTTTTTGTTTTCTAATCACGACAAGATAGTCCATCTTTCAGTTATTTTGCTATTCATTGAAAAACTTCTTATTCTTTTACAGTAGTTTTGAGTTTTGACCCTCTAGTTACCAACCAAGAACAAATCCGTCTTGATCATTAATAATAGATAAGAAATCAGTTAGTTTCAATGGTGTAATAAAGTATTCTTTGGATCTGATTATTTATTAATGGCTATGAGGCCTTCACTGTGTCGAAGACAATCTTCTAATGAGCACATGCTTGTAGGACCTCTGTGAGTACATTTCTAAGATTCCCATAAATTCAATGATTTAGATTTAAGAGAATAATTAAAAAAATTCGATATTCTGAATCTTACTTTTTCTCCTCCCAGACGAATTAAAGACATAGTTGAAGACAAAGTTTGATTGGCATGGGGCCAAAGGTTCACATGTAAGTCAATGATCTCTCACATCATCTATTATCATAAAAAGTTTAGCTCTAAATTGTATAATGTAAAGTGAAATAGGTACTTTGTTAGTTTCTTTAGTCTCTCAGGTAGATTTCGTGGCGTTTGGACACAAGAATTGTAAAATTTCAAAGAAATTGAATTTTTCAAGTGAAAATGGTATTTGAAAATTAGAGTTATGTTTGGACATGAATAAAACTTTGGGTTGTTTTTGAATTTTTGTGAGTGATCTGAGTGAAAATTTTGAAAAACTTTTTAAAAAATTTCAAATTTTGGAAAAATTCCAAAATTCATCTTCAAGTAAAAATTAAAAATTCTATTGCCAAACACCGATTTCGGAAAAAAGTGAAAATTTTTAGAAAAAAAAAAGTGAACAAAATTCTTATCCAAACAAGCTCTTCGTTTAGTAGTAGCTCTTTTCTCTTGTACAGATTTGAAATGGAATCTATCATTAGTTTTATATTTCATTATGGCAAAACGCACTCAAACCCCCTAAACTATTAGTTATTCACACTTTTAACCAAATTAAAAGCATTGGAACTGCAATTTTTAGTACAACAGGTTTAAAAGTTACTGTTAATTTGTTTAACTAACCACAATTTACATTTACTAGTACACGTTTGAGGATAATGTAAACCAAGGTATAAGTTTTCCCTGCCGACACGGTATGTTGCTCAACTAGGAACACTTTACGAAATGAACTTCCAATCGAATCAGAAGCAGAAACTCTTGATGCAAAATGAGTTCTAGAAGTAATTCTCCAATGGTGCAAAATGAGTTCTAGAAGTAATTCTCCAATGGTTCAACTGGGGTGGCAAATGGGCGGGTCGGGTCGGGTCGGGTCGGATAAGAGCGGGTCGAAACGGGTAATTTAAAAACGGATAAATTATCCGACCCGTATTTGAAACGGATAAAATGGGTTTATCCGACGGATAATATGGATATCCATATTATCCATGGCTTCTTAAATATGATTACTTATGAGAGAATTCCTAGTCTTCCAAACTTGAGGAACTTCAATTTGAGGCTTTACAATGTAAAAGTTAAACACATTAGCTATCCATTGGTTATCCATTTGGTTCACCATTTTCTAAGTGGATAATATGGTTCTTTATCCATATTAGACCCGTTTTTAAATGGTTCATTATTGCCTACGTTAGGTTGATTAAGGACATATGATGGAGTAAAGACCCGAGTGAGGACGGTTGGTGGAACTCAGACCATTTTCCAGTTATGATGGGGTTGCATCAGGGGTCAGCACTCGGCCCTTTTTTGTTTGCTCTGGTGATGAACGTACTAACGCGCCACATCCAAGGAGAGGTGCCGTGGTGCATGCTATTTGCAGATGATATTGTACTAATTGACGGGACGCGAGATGGTTTGAACGCACAATTAGAGGTATGGAGGCAAACCCTGAAATCTAAAGGTTTCAAGTTGAGCAGGACTAAGACAGAATACTTGGAGTGTAAGTTCAGTGGCGAGACTCAAGGAGGGGAAGGGAGGTGAGGCTAGACTCGCAGGTCATCCCTAGGAGAGGGAGTTTTAAGTATCTTGGGTCTATTATTCAGGGAGATGGGGAGATTGATGGAGATGTCACACATCGTATTGGAGCGGGATGGGCGAAATGGAGACTCGCTTCCGATGTTTTGTGTGACAAGAAGGTTCAAGATCGCTCTTGTCCAGAAGATGAAGGTAGCAGAGATGACAATGTTGAGATGAATGTGCGGGCACACCAAGTTAGATAGGATCAGAAATGAGATTATTCGCGACAAGGTGGGTGTGACCCCTATTGAGGACAAGATCCGGGAAGCGCAGCTCAGATGGTTTGGTCATGTGAGGAGGAGGAGCACATACGCACCAGTGAGGAGGTATAAGAGGTTGACATTGGAGGGCCTACGGAGAGGTAAAGGTAGGCCAAAGAAGAGGTGGGGTGAGGTGATTAGGCAAGGCATGGCGCAGCTTCAGCTGACCGAGGACATGACCCTTGATAGGAAGATATGGAGGTCAAGGATTAGGGTAGTAGAGTAGGTAGTCTAGAGTGTTCATAATAGTAGTGTTGGCACGCAGTCTCGCTTTCTGTTGGTAGTAGGTTTTTATGACTAACCCTTGTTTTCTTTTATTTGATCACCTTATTGTCTTGTTGTTTTTATTCTGCTTTTATATGGCTTTTTGATACTGTCCTTCTTGTCTATATATATGGTGCTTATGCTTTCCTGAGCCGAGGGTCTATTGGAAACAGTCTCTCTATCCTCACAAGGTAGGGGTAAGATCTGCGTACACACTACCCTCCCCAGACCCCACAGTGTGGGATGTTACTAGGTATGTTGTTGTTGTTGTTTTAAAATGGTTCATTATACAACCCATTTTTTGATGGATAATATGGGTGGATAAATGTATTTTTTTAACCATTTTGGCACCTCTAGGTTCAACCTCAATCTGTTTCGTCCTAAAATATAATTGCCTGCAGGCTTCACTCCTTGACCTCACAAAGAAGAGCACTCATCAACATTCCCTCAAGGTACAGCTCCCATGGTCCATCTCAGAAATAAATATACCAACAGAGTAATGAAAGGATTTAAGAAGAGATTCTTGAATGCAAGAGATTGTAGAGGATATACTGACAAACCCCATTAAGCTAAGAACTGGAAGATATTACCATCTATCCAAAAGGGACTATTTGCTTTTAAAACACTACAAAAGATCATAATCCAGCACTAAACAGAGGTACAACAAAACACTCATGGATCACTGAACGATGAGAAATGGACCGATCTATATTATAACCGCCATCTGAGGATCACTCAACTTTCCAGCTCTCTCTAGGGCAAGACATATCTAGACCACAGAGTTAAAATTCTACGTCGAATGGTTCTTACTTCTTAGATTACAAGGGAGCAGGAGCGGAAGTCACTAATACTGCCAATACAATGAATTTAAGAACTCAAGACCTGATCGAATGAAATCCAACATGGGGCAATCATCTTCTTACAGGGGGCACAACACCCCGACCAGGTGCTGCTCCACGACCTGCAGCCTGAGCCTGCAAACGAGATGTTTATAATCAGGTACATTTCTTCACGATAAGAATTACAACTCTTGAGCCAGCTAAAACACAACAAATTCTCCATAACATCACCCTCTCTTTTTTCTTGTTAAAAAGCAAATCTTCATCACATCCTCTCCACTCCCCTCCCACGCAAAAGAGAATCCCAAAAAAAATCTGGGGTAAAGGATCAAAATATACAACTCACAACCTAGAGCAACCAGCAAGGGACACGTTATAGTTTCGTGAAATAAGGGTGGGAAGAAGCAAAAGTGACAGTTGACAGCTTTCTTAAATTGGACAAAGCTACAGATAAAAAAGTTAAAGTTCCTGTAAGAAGCAAAACTAAGGAACACAGGAGAAGTAAATCAATCAATCCCCCCTTTTTTCCCCAAATCTCCTTCCCTTTCTTTGAAACAAACTTCGTATTGGCTCCACCATTTTGCAAAGTCAAACAAAGTAACTGCATATGCCCAAATTATACATGAAATTGTATGTAGCAAAAGTTCTGCTTAGTAGTTGGCATCAAACAGAAAAAGCAAGTAGAAGGAAAAGATAGAAGCAACACTCACTTTAGCTCGCATTGCAATAGCACGTCCCCGTCCAACACCAAGTGATGTACCTTTGCCCTTCAAAAGTGAAATAAAAAATAAGCAAATCACTTAAAAGAAAACAAGGATAAACCGAACAAAAGACAAATGCAACAGCAAATTACCTTAATTCTAGCTTCTAGGCGCTTGAACATGGGGGCATTTTTAAGCATATCAGGGATTATCATGAACCTGGTAGAAATTCAAGTTCAGTATATGCTCTTACCAGGAAACAGCATAAAAATGCAAAAGGAATCTGTATACCTGACTTTACTGCCTCTAATAAAAACATGCTCCAGTTGTGACACACGTCCATCCTGCATTGATCAAAATTAGAAACTAATGTCATATTTTAGAGAAAAAACCCTAGTAGATCTATAAAAAATGTTAAATTTCTTTTTCTCTGGGTAACTGGAGAAAGAACCAAATATTGCAGCTTATAAGGTGAATCGTTCATCCAACACCAAACACGCAGCAGTTGATGCAAAACAAGACTTCCTAGTATTTCGCTAGATCAGTTTCTTTCTTATTTTTCTTTAGCAAACCTTCTCCACTACACCAAGGCATATCATTAACTACCCTAAGAGTGTCAATGCAAGGACTGAAAACATCACTTTATTTTAAAAGATTGACTAAGATTTGGATGCTTTATCTAATTCATATTGATTCTTCTTTTTTCCCAATGACAATACATAATAGCCCCTTAAAGTTGTCACCATCGATTAGTTAAACACTTTAACTTTCCAAGTGATAGATAGACACTTCTAATAGTTAGAACTGTTCCTTGTTAACATCTGAGTCCACAAGATAACCTGCATAAAACTCACACTAGTTACGACTAAATAAACCAACGGCATAGTGACACATGTAAACTAGAAAAATAAATTGACACCTATTAAAAAATAAATATTATAATTGAAAAACCCAAAAAACAATAAAAACTAACCCCCACCACCTTTTCTTCTTTCCACCCCCCACTCCCTCTCTTTTTTTCTTCATCGCTAGGCAGAATGAAACATTCTCGACCCCTCCCTACCCCCCCCCCCTTTCTTCTTCTTCCTCACTAGAGACCCAAACTCCTCCCCCTCCTTTTCTTCTAGAAATACAAACCAGTGGCCAATGAAACGAGCATCAACAAGAGGAAACACTTCTTAAACAAATAGATTATGAAATTCTGAAATTTAAAACAAAAGTATTCTAAGGATTTGTAACCAGTTTTCATGTCAGAGGGTGTGGATGGGGTTTTCGGGTGGAGTTGTGGCCTGAGGTTCATCCGTTTATGGAGGTGGGAATGTGAGAGTTTTTATGGGTGGTCAACGAATTAGTGCTGACGTATTTTGTGTCAAAACTGAAGAGAGGCAGTGGATTTATGGCAGTGGCAGCAGAAAGAGTAGGAGCAACTGGTGTTTGCGTGAGGAAGATTCGTTCGTGGAGATGAATTCTTTGGGAGAGAAGGTGGAAGCATTTTGGAAAAAAAAGGAAAACACGGTGTGGGCCACAAATAAAAAATAATTTAAGCAGAAAAAAAACATAAATAAAGTCCTCATGCACTCAATTATTAGTGAGACACAACTAATTTGCCATGTCAGCACAAGGTGTTTAAAAGACACATTTGGTATAAAGAGGTGTTTATTTGGCCACTAGAAAAGTTAAAAGTGTTTAACTGATCGTTGGTGACAGTTAAAGAGGCTATCTATGTATTTCGCCTTAAAAGTTTATCAAGGACAGGGACAGCAGTGTAGGACCAACTTGGTTTTTTCCCTGTTCTGCTAATCCACTGCATAGTAAGTTGCACCTACAACAAAAAAGGAAGTGAAGAAACCAACAAAGGGGGAACTTGAGAAACAAAAACATGGGCAGCACTTCTACTACCAGCAATACACACTTGATCTAATAGAACATCAGAAAGCTAAAAAATTAGACATTGGAAGCAAGGAGTTTGTTTGGTTTATCACTATATTGAAATATTTTCTATTTCCATTCATCGCGGAAGGTGTGGTCTTTCTATCCTTTTACATTATAGTTACTGGTTAAGGTGTTTGGTATACGAAAATGAAAATATGTCTCTTGCGAATCTCCAATCATCTTCCATTAGCTAACCAGAATAGATTTCTCCAGCCCATAATTTGGTAACAAGAAAATAATCAACCTCTCTGATGAAAGTGATCGAAACCGCTTAATATGCAAACAAAAGCAGAGCGGCAGAACCTTCGGCTAAGTTTGTCTGATTTTCTAACTTCGCGACAATTTTTTGAAAATGTGATGAAAAAATTATTATAGCATAGCACCCAGAGTGCAATTAATTAGTACAACCCCAGCAATATGCATCTTAGCATACACTAGCTACATTTGAAACGAACTAAGGAAATTAACTATCCTATATGCGTGTACATTTTCACTTTTACATAAAAAGATTAAGAGAGCTAAATGACAATTTTTGAAGGCCAAGTAGAGACGGAGCCGTACAGGTGGGACCTCCAGATGGTAGTTAACCTTTTGCTGTCTCCTTTGACAAGGTAAATGTGGATACTAATCTGGTGCTGCTCCTTCCCTCAATTGAAAGTAAAATGACGAGCTTCTCCGCTCCAATGAAAGACATATGACGAGTAAAGGAGCATCAGGTCTTATTGGGATGTTTTTTCAAGCAGCACATAGTTTCAGCTGGGAGATGGATGGAGATAAGTTTTTGGGATAATGCTTGGTTGGGTCATACCGCCTCTTAAGCTACATTTTCCAGATCTTTACTGCTGGCCTGGCGGCCAACCATGCAGCATATATTGCACATTATAGCTCTACACAAGGCTGGAATATTCTTTTTAGAAGGAGTTGCAACGACCAGAAAGTGGATAGAAATGTTATAACTTCTGCACCAACTTTCCAACCAGGAAGGATTGCATCTGCTGGAAGGGCAAAAAGGATGGTATTTTCTCAGTAAAGACATGCTACTCATTATTTCTCAACTCATCAAATACAAAATCCTCTTTGCCATGCAGACAGATTCGGAGAAGCTAAAATCCCTGCAAGGTTAAATGCTTTACTTGTTTGGTAGGTAAAAATGCATGTCTAACTCAATGCAACCTAATGAATCGAGCTATTTGCGGTAGAAACCCTCTTTGTAAAGAAAAATTAGAGAAAACAAACCATTTGTTTCTTCAATGTAAGATTTACGATAAAATTGTCGGATCTATTCTTCGATCTCCTTGAGACTCAAGTGGGTTATGCCAAGAGATGTCCTAACATTCCTTCAAGGATTGGTAAAAAGGGGCTGAGTCATATTGACTCAAGACTATGGAATGCCATCTCAACAAACGTCTGATGGACCATATGGAGAGAGAGGAACTCCAGAACTTTTGAAATTGAAGACAAAATGGAAAATGTAATTAATCTTAAGTATTCTGTATTCCAATGCTTTGTTGATGGAGCAACATGACGGCTATACATAATACACAGGATGTAGAAGTCATGCTTGATTTTGTTAGGTCATGATTCAGCCAGTGACGGTAAAGTTGTCTCCGTGTGACCTATTGGCTACGAGTTCGAGCCGTGGAAGCAGCCACTATTTTTTGCATTCGGGTAGGTTCTCTATGTTACACCCTTTGGGGTGCGGCCCTTCCTCGGGCCCTGCGTGAATACGAGATGCTTTGTGCACCGGCTGCCCTTTTTATGATACAGTCGGTGAGGACTAGCTTTTGGTTGTAACTGTTTCATACCACCAACAATCACTTGATGATGGTTTCATAGATAAAATTACCTTATCAAAAAGGGTGTAACATAGACTTACAGCTGGGATGTGTTTCATTATCTTCAGTGTACTTGCCCTAAAAGAATGTTTCAGGATGCAGAAAGATGGCCATGCTGCAGATTCTCAGGTTCGGATTGAGATATCATGAGAGAAAGGAGGGGGGGAGGGAGAGAGAGAG